CCGCCGCGCCGTCGGGGCAGGGTTGTGCGTCCCGGAGGGAGACCGCCTCGCGGCTGTGTGGTGGGCAAGGTAAAACTCTCCCGGGCACCCTCGTTTGCTGCTCTCGGGCAGGGCAGCCCGGAGGCCGGCCGGCCGGGTGAGGGCCCTCCCTGGACAGAGGGGCCAGAAAGGCACAAGGGTGTCCAGTGTTGGGGCAGAATTACAAGAGTGACAGATGGGCATTGGAAACGGCACCATTCGCAGAGTGCGGAGTTGGTTAGCGGTGGGATACGAGGTACGTTTTGTACCTGAGCATGTGTTTTCTTGCACATATATGTCTCGTGCTACACGCATGAACGGCTTGCGAACGGTTGCTGTCTGCCTACTTTGCGTGGGGTGTGCATGTTGTGGAGGGCACGAGAATGCCCGGTGTATGTGTCCCGTTTACAGGGGTGAGGGAGGTCGGCTTTGTGTCTTGGAGCCCGACGGGCGTCCCGTCTGGGTCCCATGTCTGTGGCCTTGGCGAGGTGTGGTCCAGTCGTGGCGAAGGCAGGCCGCTGGATGAGTCTGTCTGTGTGAATGAGCGGAGTGACGCGTCTTGAACCCAGGACCCGTGAGCAGTTTGGTCAGTGAGAAGCCCAAGGTGGGTCGTGAGTCCTGGTGGGTTAGGCTGGCCCGAGGGTCGGGGCTGGGATGGATCGGGCAGGTTGTGTTGACGGGATTGTGGGCAGTGTGTTTGCAACACTCTCCATGGGATTCTTTTATGACGTTGTTTGCGGGAGCCTATCCGGGCTGTTGGGCTGGAAGGTCAGAAAACACTTGTGGGGAGGGAGGTGGCGTGACAAGGGCACTGTGGGCCTCAGACCCGAGAGTCCAGCGCGGGCTGCGTGTGCGTGCCTGACTTCTAAGTGGTGGTGTGGGGCTGCCGTGGGGATGTGCTATGAGAAAGGTGGGGAGATAAATATGGGGTAGGCCAAGGGCAGCCGTTGGAGACACAGATGTTTTCAGAGTGGCCCCCCGCGAGCCTTTGTGTAGGGTCTACATGTTCGGCCCTCACGCCCAGTATGTCAGGGTCACCGGGAGGAGAAGCCAGGCTGGCTGCAAGGGAAGTGAGCTTGGACAGAGTTCGAGCTCCTTGGCCATGTTTATGTAAAGGCTGGGTGTATGACTCGTGTCATTAAAATGGGGGTGGGGGTGGGGAGAAGTTTGTCGTCTCCTCCTCTTTCGTCCTCTGTCTGTCCCAGGTTGCAGACAGCTCTGCCTTGCCTTTCCTCCCCTGACACCTGCCAGGTTGCTCTCCAGTGACCAGCCACCATGGAGGGCTCTGGCAACAGAATCTGCTCACTAGGCAGATTCCTCAGAACAGGTTTTCCTCACCTTTGGGGCCTGGGCCCTCCCGTGGCTGTGTGTGTGTGTGTGTGTGTGTGTGTGTGTGTGTGTGTGTGTGGTGAGTGGTATGTGTGCTCCGACTATGCACACCACCCCCACCATGTCGTGTCCTGGGCCTGCTCAGGAGTGGGGAGAATGCATGAGCAGGAGAGCACAGGCCGTGGTGGCTGCGGCCTCCTACACCTAGGGAACGGGGAGGGGGAAGGGGCTGGCTGCTACACCCGGCCTGGACAACAGGTGCACAGGGCAGCCTGGCAAAGGGGAAGGAGCCCCAGGCCGGACTGACCATGGAGTCCTCACTGGCTCTTTCCCTGAGGGAGCCTCCATTCCTCACGTGCAAAATGGGGCCAGTTACTTGCCTTGCCTTGCCTTGCCTTCTTCCAGGAGGATTTTCAGTAGCACCTGGGGAGCGGGCTTGGGGACAATGGCTGTGCCAGCCACTGTCAGCCCTCTGTTAACCCTGAGGGTGTCCTTGTTAGGGTTTTGCTCACAAAAACAGCAGTAAACACTGCCTGGGGGAGGTACCAGGCACTGTTCTCAGTACGTGTGCACGGAATCACCCATTTAGCCTTCATAACAACCTTACGGGAAATAGGTGAAGGAGCGGAGGCCCAGAGATGTTAACTCATTTATTTGCCCAGAGTTACTTATCTAAGTCAGAGGTAGAGCTGGATTTGAACTCATGCCCTGAACCATTGGAGTCTGCCGCCCAACAGCCACTTTCAGGAGACCTCGTTGTGCCTCTCCCCTGACACGCACATATCTCCCCAATTTCTGTGGAACTTTGCAGCTGCAAGAATCCGTTTTAGAAGACTGGTAGGTATGGGATGCTTAGGTGGCGTTCTCAGGAACCAAAGTGTCCAAGATGGGGTGCTCCCCAGAGAGGCACAAAATGATGAATCAAGGTGGGAGGATGAGGAGACGTTTGAGTTTGAGCTCCACGATTTGGGAGAGGGAGGTTGAGACGTGGTGAGGGAGAGGGCATTTGCAGCAGGAAGCTCTCAGACATGCAGAAACACAGGCACGTGGGACATGTTGAAGTTGGATTGCACACTGGGTGCTTGAAGAGAATCAGGCAATGCACGATTTGGAAGGAGGGTTGGAGTTAGACCAGAGCCCTTGAATGCCTGGCTGAGGAATTTGAACTTTATTCTGGAGTCTGATGGGAACCAGCGGAGGGTCCGCCGAGTCCAGGAGTGATCATTGCTGAGCAGTGGCTGGACAGGAGGCTCGTGAAGGGAGAAAGGCCATAGAAGAAAGGATGCCGGGAAGAGACAAGGGACCCATTTGGAAGGCCACGGGCCATACGTGTTAACAAGGACCTAAGCTAGTTTAGGGTCAGAGGCGGAGGGAGCTGAAGGGAAGGATTCCAGAGCCATTCCCAAGCTCAGCCTCAGATCCAACAGACTTGGTGACTGCCTGGATGTGGGAAGCAGCGAAAGGGTGGAGTCAGACATGACACATTTAGCACTTAGCACGTGAGACCTTGTGTGGTGATTTATGTAACCAGTTGGCCAGCCATAGGCCTCATTCAGAGCAGGATCCGACCACATGGCATAAGGGAAACATTTTGTCGCTCTGAGGACAGATGGGCCCGAGTTCAAATCTTGAGTCTGCTGCTTACAAGCTATATGACCTTGAGCAAGACCCAGCCACTTAGAATCTGTTTCCTCGTCTGTAAAACGGAAATAATATAAACGGCCATTTGCAAGCACCCTTGGCGAAGTGGGTTAAACACCAAGCTGTTCTCTGTAAGGTGAGTGGTTCAAATCTCCCAGCCGCTTCCTGGCAGAAAGATGGAGTTCTCCCCTTCCCTCTCCCCCTCCCCATTAAGATTTACAGTCTTGGAAACTCTAGAGAAGGTCCCCATGACTTTGAACCAACTCTATAGCCATGGCCTTTTGCTTTGTTATTTTAAAATGAGGGTGGGGCGGTTTTGAGGATCTCATTAAAGGAGACAGTGCATCTAACACTCCCAGAAGTGTACCAGGCAAATGGTGCGTGTTCCTGGGGTGGTCCTAGCCAATTCAGCCCGGCACAGAGGGTGGCTTCCTTTAAGAAGGTGGACAGACTGCAGGCTGATTTTGAAGCAGGCAGGTTCGTTCATTCAGCAAAAATCTTTTTACTTCCCATTATGTGCCAGCCATGATTCTGAGCCCTGGAGATA